TGATAGTATAAATAGCTAAAGTAATGTATTGACATTGAAAATAAGGACTGATACTGAGTGATTATCACATAGCAGGGATTATTATACTGCACTGTATAGATGAGGAAGCTGAAGCTTAGACGTGTGGGGAACCTGGCCCAAATTTACAGGAAGAAAAGGGCAAAGTCGAGCCCAAGCTCTCCAGCTCATTGCAAGGGTTCTCCCTTACGGTACCTGGAAGGTACTTGCCCTTGCTCTTTCATATTCTAGTCCTGTGGTTTGGGCCTCTCACAGGGATGTCTTTAAATGATCACAACTCTGAACTCCTCTTTACCAGTCTTCTCTCTACACAGTAGGAAGGATGGCGGCCCACAAACCAGCAACAGGAACCTCCTTTGCTATTCAGCTGGCTATATTTGGCCCATAAGACCAGAAGCTTTCAGGAACAGGAGCCAAAGTCCATGTGGACAGGCCTGTTTATCTCATCTCTGCTACTTTCTGTGTGACTTTGACCACATTACTTAGTGTCTCATTTTCCTCAGCTGTAAAATGTAAATCATAATAGTTCCTATCTTCATATGGTTATTATGAGCTACAAATTAGATAGCCAAATTTATCTAAATTGGCTTAGTGTGTAGCATGTAGTAAATGCATAGTACCTAGCATATAATAAATGCTTAGTAAAGGATGCTAGGTTCCACATTATAGGTTTAGAGAAAATCTAAACAATCCAACTGATCATTCAATAAATATTTACTGAGCACCTGTTATTTGTGTATACTGCTCCAGGCATTTGGGATAGACAGATGAAATTTCTACTCTGGCACTTACTTTGTAGTGTGTGGAGGAGTGGGGACATTGAGAGTGGGGACATAAGATAAACAAGTAGACAAAAAGTATGTAATATATTAAGTTTTGACAAAAATAAGGAAAGGTGAAAGAATTGAGTGATGAGGGTGAAGTGAGGACTGTTCAAAGAAATGGCACTTAAATTAAGGCCTGAGTGAAAATTCAGGTGATGGCGCACCTACCATGGTGCCTGAGACACTGCAGGAAGTCAACCAACACACCGTGAAGATTTACCAGTGGGCCTGTCTGGGGCCAGGTTTGTTCATTTCAGTGTATAAACGTTTACAAGGACCTGCTGTGTGGCAGTCACTAGGGGAGACAGAGAAATTGCCTTTGGGTTCAGACCAGCATGCGGTCCTTCTGCATGATGCTGCTGCTGATAAAAGGCTAGCATGGTGGCCTTTTCTAAGTTCCAGAACACTCCAGGACCCATATTTCTCTTCTGAGAGGGTGAGCGTGGAGTATGAGAGGAAAAGGAAGTCAGACTTGGAGCCAGGTGACAGGTGGCAAAAGGACCACTGGCCAGGGGTGGGATCCATGTTTGCTCACTCAGTGAGAGGCAGTATTGCACCTGGAGAGCACACGGATCAGGAGTTGAAGAAACCTGGGTTCAAGTCCCCCTTGTGCAGCTTGCAACAGGGCAAACTTTTTGCTGAGTCTCTGTTTCCCTATATGTGAAATAGGAATAATTGTCTCTACCACACAGTGAATTATTGTGATGATTAAAAATGATATGTGTAACACAAAGTTAAACACAGCCACTCTTGTCAGTTATCTATCTTAGGCAGTGACTATGCGTTGCCCACCTCATACCTGTCAGAATGGCTATTATCAAAAAGGACACAAATAACAAGTGTTGGTGAGGATGTGGAGAAAAGGGAACCCTCATGCACTGTTGGTGAGAATATAAGTTGGTGTAGCCACTATGGAAAACATTTTGGAGGTTCCTCAAAAAATTAAAAATAGAATACCATACAACTGAGCAATTCCACTTCTGGGTATTTACCCAAAGAAAACAAAAACACTAATTTGAAAAGATATGTGCACCCTTATGTTCGTTATTTACAACAGCCAAGATGTGGAAACAGCCTAAGTGCCTATTCACAGATTAATGGATAAAGAAGATATATATATATATAGATATATAAATATATAGATACGCACACACACATATACATATACATATATACATACACACACATACACAATGAAACATAACTCAGCAGTAAAAAGAACAAAGTCTAGCCATTTGTGACAGCATGGATGGATCTAGACATTACTATATTAAGTGACATAAGTCAGAGAATGACAAATACTGTATTTATCTGCTTATATGTGGAGTCTAAGAAACAAAACAAATAAAACAAAACAGAAACAGACTCATGGATAGAGGAAAAGTGATGATTAGCAGAGGGGAGGTTCTGGGGTGGTTGGGCAATTTAGATGAAAGGGATTAAGGGGTACAAACTTCCAGTTATAAAATAAATAAGTCACAGGAGGTACTATACAGCATAAGGAATACAGTTGATTATACTGTAATAACTTTTTATGGTAACAAATGGTTGCTAGACTTACTGTGTTGACCATTTCATAGTGCGTTTCAATGTTGAATCAATATGTTGTACACCTGAAAGTAACATAATGCTGTACATCAACTATACTTCAGTTTTAAAAAGAATGTATAAAAAAGATAAATCCTTCACCTCCATTCCTGGTGTCTGTTACCCCTTTTCTGAAAAGAACTTGCCAGTTCTTGAGAAAACTATCTTTCCTCTGGTCTCCATCTATCCTTTCCTACCTCAGCCTCCAAGGATCTGCACTCATCTGGCCAGTACGAGCATTCGTTCCCCGGGCTGCAGTGACTAGTTCATAGATTGGCACATGACCCAAGCCAGACCACTGAGATCAAGCCTAGGACTTTTTATGTGGATTGTAAAGCCGGTGGAATGAGTCTAAACCTGTTTGGGATCATCTTTGGCATCACTTGAGGACAGATTGCTTGAGAAAGAAATCAGCAGGGGTAAGCAAGGGTGAGGGATTATTATAAATTACAAACCATTTTATTTGATCACCTGCATTCAGTCAGGACTGAAGTTAGTCTACTCTTAGTCTTTTGAATTTTATAGGGCAATAAATGACTTTCTAAAAATTAAGCAAGTTTGAAGGGACATAGTAGATTAATCCATTACTGTCTCTAATTTAATTCTCCTTCCTATATAACAAAACTTTACCATGTGAATTTTCAATTTCTCTACCTAAAGAAGCAGAGTCAGTTTCCTTAGCCCTTAAATCTGGGCAGGCCTTGTGACCTGCCTTGGCCATTGGAAATGTAGCAGGCACATACAGAGGCTTGCATGCTGGAATGTGTTCACTCTTACACTTCTGTTATTGCTGTGAGAACATGCCCAAGCTAGCCTGCTGGAGGATGAGGCACGCCTGACCTGGTTGTCAGTGTGGCCCTAACCAATAGCCACCTGACCACAACACAAGTGAGTCAGCCAAGACCAGAACAATCACCCAGTTAAGCCTAGTGTATGTTTCTGACCCATAGATTCATGAGCTAGAGAAATGCTTATTGTTTGATATCACAGAATTTTGGGGTGATTTGTTGCACAGTATTACAGTGTCAAAAAACAAATGATAGCTGGTTTTCTATCATTTGCAACAAAGGGACTCTGAAAATGATAGTGTCCCAACGGGTTCCCATGGCTGCCAGCATTTCTCTCATTATAGCATTTAATGTACTGTTCTGTAATTGGTTTTTACTTATCTGTATATCAGAACACTGCTGTCCAGTAGAATTTTTACAATGACGGGAATGTTCTACCTCTGTATTGTCCACCTGGCAGTCACTAGTTCCATGTAGCTATTGAGTACATGAAACGGGGCAAATGTGACTGAGGGACAGAGTTTTAAATTTTATTCAATTTGGATTAGTTTCAATTTAAACAAGCACCTGCAGTTAGTGGCTATCATATTAGATAGGATAGCTCTAATGTCTAAACTCTTTAAAAGCAGAAATTATATATCTATTTTGTTTATTATCATAAAAATTAATGCAAGAAAGATGATTGATAAATTTTTTATGATAAAGGAATAAATTCTCCTGACTCCCTTAGAAACTTCTAACTGCCTGATAAGCAGACCCTTCAAGATCTAATGGAGTGAATGACCTGTCACCAACTTGTGTAAACACTATCAGCCATAACCCAGAAGCATTTTGTCCAGAGACAAAAATTCTCCTGGCCACAACACCCTGACTTCGCCAATATCCAGCACTTCTATTGGCCAGTGAGCAGAAAGGGACTTTCTGGAAACATCCTACACAGACATGGAAGTCCAGTTATTCCTACCACATGTGTTTCTCTTCAGTGCCAAATGGGCCCTAAGGTGCTTCCTGCTTCCAGTTGGATCCAGGAGGTCCATGCAGGAGAGGACATCAGCCAAGTGGGTTCTTAAGGACGGTTCAAATGCCAGCAGAGAGTGAGACTCTCAGAGAAGCGTCTGCCTAATCTTTTAGTGGGAGAACGCTGAAGCAGATGCCTCTGGGCAGCATGGCAGCGATGGAGGCTTCCAGAGTGTAGTGGAGGAAAGGCTGAGGTACAAGGAGAGACTGGGGTGGAAAGAGAGGTGAGGGTCAAACTTCTAAGAAAGAGCTTTCAACTTCACAGGTAGCCAAAGGGCCATGTAACCAACTCAGTCCCTAATTTGTGCCAAGCAGAAGAAAGGGGGCTCTGAAGTGCTTTTACATATCTAGAACCCATTTTTCCTGACGAAAGATGTTACTGATTGCTTAGAAAAACCTTTCCATTTCTACTGATACTAAGAATTTAAAGTGTTGGTTAGATATAGATATAGATATAGATATAGATACAGATATAGATGCCTCACCTGCGATAGAGGCCCAGTAAATATTTAAATAACTCTTTTAAAAATATTTACTGTGTTTGTACGACACCATAGTAATCAGTGGCGACCTCTCAAGAAGGCAGGGAGGAGGTTGACTTTGTTTTCTATATTAAATGATTTCTCCTCTTTGTGTCCTCTTTACACACACAAAGTAGAGGGATGATCTCAAAAGTCTTTCTGAGCTGTGGCAACAGAAATTTAAACGCAAGATGCTTTTCTAACGAAACCTAGTCCCACCTAGAAATGCTTTCGATGTCTTTCAGACTTCCGCTTCATACCATGTCGTATCTCATTGCCCCACGTCAACTGGAGCCCAGAAGGCAGGGAAGTTTGTACAGTCCATTCAAGGGTTCGAGCTGAATGGAGAATGGCAGAAAATGAAACTTGGCAAAACAGAAGAAGAATGGAGTCTGGATGAAAGGTATGGATGCCCCCCAAACTTCCCCCCAATAATAGCAAGGTTAGTATCACTGGTACTGGTTATTAGAGAGAACTGGACGTGGTGAGAACAGTAGTTGGTTGCCCAGCGTGCGCCCGTCACTTCCACAAGGACAGCACAGTCACTCTTCCACTCGTTCTTCAAAGCCACTCCAGCAGTGGGTGCCATCAATATGTTCAGTTTACAAATGAAGAAACTGGGGCTCAGAGGTAAAGAGAACTTTCCCAAGGAAGAAGATGTGAGAAAACATGAGAGTCAGGACTCAAAGCCAGGTCATCACTGAGTCATAGCAGTAGCAGTTGGTCTTAAAGCCCTGGAAAACCACATACCACAGCGATGTGAATCCCTGGGAAGCTTCATCAATGTTTTCTTAACAATTCTAACTGCACCTGAAAACAAGTAAACATTAAAAACTGAGGGTTTTTTTTTTTACACACCAGGAAGTCTAGACACCTGCTTTTGTATATTTTCTGGAGGGGGAAAATATAGACTCGTTGTATGAAATTTATTTCAACCATTTGGAGAGGGTTTAGTAAAGATGGGTAACATTTGCGATTCAGCGGTGAGACGTAAATGTTTAACGCAGGGTCTTCCTCCTCACCCGCCCTTCCCTACGGATGCTTTGAATAATGCAAAGTCTGTTTTAAGCTCTGCTGATTTATTCAAGAGAAGGATCAGCATATTTGGAACTATTGGTCATATGGTCTGGCGGATGGGAGCTTTAAAATGCAGCAAAACTCAACAAGCTACTTCCTGTCAGCTGCTTCTCAAGACTTCATGGGCTCATAACACTTAGTTTAAAAACATGAGCTGTAAATAATACCTGAGTTTAACTGCATTTTTCATCAAATGAACGAGACATTGAGAATGCAGTTTTGTTCTCATTAAGAACGTAACTCCCGGGTGCATAAGATGTTCATTTCCGGCTCTTCCATTGAGGACCCACTATGCACTAGGCACTTTACTGTTGGCTTGATTCATAGAAAATGGCTGCTACTCAGATAGCTTTGTCCCACAAAAAAAGGCAATTTCAGATGGCTCAGCCTTTTAGATACTTGACACTTACTACCTGTGAGGTAGGTTCTCTTATTATTCCTAGTTCATTAGGATGTCAGTTCCATCAGGACAGAAACTGATTGGCTTAATCCCTTCCACATCTTCAGTGCCTGTAACAAGAGTCTGGCCCATAGTAGCTGCTCATTAATTACTGGATGGATGAATGGACAGATGGATGAGTAGATGGACAGGAAGCTAAGGCATAGGGAGGCCATCCAGCATGGAAGTGGCCAAGCCAGGCTTTGAGCCCAGGTCTGCTGCAAAGCTTCCCATTCACCATGCCACAGTTGGTGAAAGGGAGGATGGACCAACTGCAATCTGTATTTCTAGTGCCACCATCACCAGTGGCCCATCTCCAGAAGTCACACCCTGTATCCATGGGCGGAGGAGGAACCTGGGACACCCTGTGGCAACATAGCCAACTGCTTTCTCAGGCGTTCCCAGGCCCTCTGCGTCTGGGACAAAGGGACATAGCAAAGAGCAATCCAGCTAAAAAGCATCCCAAATGCCTTTGAAGCTGAAGGACAAGAGGCAGGGGATGAGTCAGAGTCAGTGTGGAAGGACAAAGGTCACATGGGAGGGACGAGAGGACTGAGGTGGAAAGGAGCCCGAGGTTTCCTGTGAAGACGTGGGGAGCTGTGTCCACATCACCCACGTCTTTCGGCGCTGCCTTGTTAAGGGAGGCCCCCGAGGGTTAACCAGGAAGGTGGAGGGGGCAGAACCGGCCGGGGAAAATAAACCTGGGGGAGGAGGAAGACCGGGAAGCAACCCGGGCTGGAATCGTTTTGTTTTATGAATAGTTTATGAGGCGTATCAGGAGTCACACTAACAGGCAAGGGCTGGAATGTTTTCTAGCTTTAAAGTGAAAGCCGCCCACCAGGCCGCGGTGAGTGTGGGAGAGGCCAAATATGAGAAACACGGAGGCCCCTCTCAGCGCTGCTCAGCTGTCTTGTAAAACGTGGCTCTCAGGGCTGCGTGCGCTAGTGAATATGTCTCCCTTTGAATGCTGAAACCGCCTTGGAGTTTTCACAACCACCCTGCTCGGCCCAATGTGTTGAGGTGACTTATCTCAGCACCTGGGAAAGTGTCACGGGTGGACCCTGGGGCCGAGGATGAATCGTGGGCAAAGGACCATGGTGCGGGGCCCATCTCTACACCAAGTGCTTTCTGTACTCACAACTGTGCACTAGTCACTGTGGGGCAAGGAGGAGGTTCACCCAGGGGAGGTGGTCTTGCTGGGGTGGAAGAACACACAGGGAGCCTCAGAAAGAAATCTTTATTTGTCCAAATCAGCTCAGTACTTTTAACAACTCCCTCTCCACCCACAGGCGAAGCCACAGGCGCCCCATAAACTGACCCCTCCATCCTAGGCCTCGGGGAACGCCTCCTCCCACCTTCCCCAGGCCCTGAGAGATAGTGCCCACACCTCCGTGGCTGACCCTTGCGTATCGAGGTAGTTCCTGTGCCCTCACCCATCCCTGGAACTTATTCTAGCACCATCCCTCAGGTTCTTTAGGCCAATGTCCAAGATTCCCCTTTGCCCCATTTCCCACAGTCAGAGCCTGTGCCCAAACTAGCTTCTGGATCCAAGCCAGGGTCTGATTCTGGGCCTCTTGCTGGCCTGGAATGTAAATTCAGACTTCAGTCAGCAAGCTCATGCAAGGGACGTTTCTGTCACACAAGCTGTGTATGAAGTGCCAGGAGCCGTCCCGACACTGGGGGTACTTTTCCAGCCTTAACATGCTGCCCCCTCCTCTTCCATGCATGAGCTCTGAAAATCCGGCTCCCCAAGGTATCCCACTCTCCAACCTGCTCTCCATCTCCTGTCCCTCCTTGGAAATTCAAGTCTGTGAAGTTTCTTCCTGATAAGGTTTTCTCTCACTCTGAGTGGAAAGGATTTTACTTTTCCAGGAAGGTTGGAAGGTTATTCTGAGGATGAGATATAGTTCTTGGTGTTCCTCCAATCACATCTGTTCCGCCCCTGAACACACTGTTCCTTCTGTTAGGGTGAAGTTGGTACCATCTACCTGGGACGACTCTGGTATCCACACGGCTCATTCTGGGAGGTTGTCTGCATGAAAGCCCTGTAGGGGTGGATATTAGGATATTAGTGAAGATACTAAACACGGCATTTGGCCAGAGAATTCATAGATGTCTAGCCCTGCTTTCTTGCTTCATCCATTTACTTACTCAAAATTAGTAAGTCAGTGAATGAGTAAGTGCCTGCCATGTGTCCTGTCCAGTTCTGTGTAGCAAACAGCAACAAAAACAGACGAGGTAAAAGTTCTCACGGCTTTGTGTGGGAAGAGAAGCAATAAACAAATACACAAATGAAAGAGCACGATCATTTAAGACGGTAACACGGCTATGAAGACAGCAATAGAATGGAATGCGAAAGGCTGAGGTAGAAGGATGGAAGGTGGGGGAGTTGGCTTGAAACCACAGAGAGCAAATCAAGAAAAATCAACCGTGCTCTTTGGGATCTGGGATCTCCAAATGCAATAGTCTTAGAGAGTCTGAGCTCTGAGAAGAACCCCTTTCCCTCAAGTGGGCTGGTCTGAATGGGCAAACAGCATTCTACCGGAAAGGTGAAACCCAGGTACTTATGTTGGCATTTTGGTGAAAGACAGAGCACAGGTGCCAGTAACAAAGGGCAGAGGAACAAAATGAGGGAGGGTGTGTGGGCCTGAATGACCCCATCCCCACTTGTGGGAAGCTGCTGGAGGCTAGGAGAGTCCCTTCCCAACCAGCTGGAGGCCTGGACAGCGCGACCACCCACAGCAGCTGTCAGGCCTCTTCCTAAGAAGAAGAAACTGGCACTCCCCCTAGAGCCAACAGACAGGCAGAGTGAGGCCGGAGGGGACTGGCACGCACGCGGCTTTGGAATTTGGGGATGTTATCAAGTCTCTTAAGCTGTTCCAGTTTGCGTCCTAGGTTAGGTAACTGTGGACGTAGTCAGACACTGCAGGCGATGGGGCTTGGAGGAAAGGGAAATGGGAAATCAATCTTTGAATCGAGGGCCCGGGCCTGGTCTCTGGTGAAGGAGGCCAAGAGGTTGTTAGGCTCATAGTTCCGTGTGTGTATTACACAAGCTTGTGCCCCTTGTGAAAATTTCATCTGAGAGCCAATCTACATTCTAGAAAGGGCTCAATGAAGACACAGCTGTGATAAACCTTTTAGAGATGGAGTAGAGAGATGTACAGGGAACCCAGGGAAAAATAGCAAGTAGCAAGGTTCTTTTAGGAACAGGAGACAGTAAAGAGCCTACAGAAGCGGAAGAAAATAAAGGGAAGCTCAGAACAAGAGGGAGTGGGTTGTCAAACTCGGGTGATCTCGGGCTGAGAGGAAGTCATCAGAGGAGCTCCTCTTCCATGTAGTTACAGCTAGGTTATTAGCAGCAGCCTCTGACATGTGCTCAGCATTCACTAGGTACTAGGTGCGGGGTACCAGGCTAAGGGCTTAATACACAGTCATTTATAACGCTCATGCCAGTCCTTGAGGAGAGCTATTATGATTTTTCAGGATTCTTCTAGAAGTGAAAACGAACGTTCAGATCATTTGAGTAACCCTCCTAAGATCACACAGCTACCTAGCAGCACAGACACAACCAAACCCAGTCCTCCTGGCTTCGGAGTTGCAAGAGGGCACTGACCCGCCCAGTGGGACCTGGTGACCACTTACACAGGAAGCCCTGCGGGGCCTCACGGATTCGAGATTCCCAGGCCCTGCCACATGTGCGGAATCAAAATCTGTGTGCGGACCCTGGAGATAATTTCAAATGCTCCTTGGGTGATGTTTAAACACGCTCTGGTTTAGATTGGTTTGGTTGGAACAGAGGGAGGCTAGTGACTCCTAAGAATGCAAGAGATAGAGACCAGCAGGGTCGTTTTTTTAAAAAACAAAACAAAAAAAAAAACAAAACAAAA